ACATAGCTCATTAATATTAATTAAGATTGAGATTAATTAAGTGTTATGATATAATCTTATTAAATTTTCAATCGTTTGTTGTAGAGAGTATTAGAAGAAATAGTGCGCGGATTAACTTTGTGTATTAGTATAGTATTTTGTTTGATACACTTTTTAATTTATGTGTATTGAGGAGTGCATTACTAATTCATTGAAATTCATGATATTAGTAATGCAAGGAGATTTAATACATGCATTAGCATGGTTAAAGATTCAATTGTCCCTCAAAACCTTTTTTTACATATTTTTCACCATATTTGTGATGGGTATCTTTGTAAATAAAATATTTTTAAAAAAAATTTATGCAATACATGCTATATTTATCACACCAAACCAAATAATGAATAATAACTAATACACTCTCTTTAACATTATTCTTATATACAGTAACAAACGACCATATTTTCCATTTCATTAAAGGGTGCACGTTGTGTACATGACATAGCTAGATATGTACGCGTACGGTGTATATTTTTGGAACAAAAAGAAACAGTCTCCATATATATATATATATATATATATTATATCTTAATAGAAACTATATATAGACTATAGTCTATAATTCAAGTCTCACGTATTGCGATCTAGTATATATCTAAAAGTATCTTTACATGTTTTTTGTTTAACGGCCATTATCATAGACGGCTCAATTAATTCAAAGTCATCCCAATTCTTTGAAAAACAGATATTAAATATAAAGGTAATGTTAAATGACGAGAAAAATTGGTCAGAAATTTAAAAAGTCTATAAAATTCTTTTTATTTTAAAATAAACTATCTTTTTTCTATTTTTTAATTTAAAGGTATTAAATTTAAAATGGTAAAAATGTTCAAAAAGGTAAAATAACATAGTGTAAAATATGTTATTTTACCATTCTAGCCAAATTTTCTGGCCAAAAGGATTTTTTCTAAATATAATTGGTTTTGAGTAACATATCTATTTTATTATCAATGCATGTCATGTAACAAATGAGTTGCTTCTTTTTTAATTAGAGATTTTGATTTCAAGTTTTGGATATGAAAAATTCTTTGGTAAGGATTGTTTCTCCTCGAATGGAGTCCTACGCAACGCAAGTTCATAATAATTGGACAACAATCAGAGGCGAACTCATGATTTGAAGACTATCGGGTGCATCAATATTATCTTAGTTATTAGGCATTAGCGAAACTTTCAATAACAATTAATGAGTAATTAATTTTGTGTTCGATTGGTCACTAATGACTTGAACAATAGTGAAAATATTAAATACAAATATATAGAATAATACTTGAACTTCACTAATTTGTTATAAGATGAGTTTAAGCCATTCTAGTTGGGATCGAACTCTGGTCGCATGGCGAGTGTGTCGGCGTGTACTAGTAGTATCAAGTGCTCTTCTTTGTTTTTCAGGGGACACTGTTAATTTTATATAATTTTCGTTCGTTTCTCAAGATATATATATATCGAAATTAATGAATGCACGTGCATCTCTATCTATACATATGAATTTGCTTCTTGACTTTAATGTGAATATTGAACTTCAAATAAAATATAAAACATATCTATTTTAATCTTTTCCTTTATCTATTATCAAATTTACTGACTCAATTAATTGAATACCTGTCGAATAAATCTATGGACGTACTACTTATTAAATGAGCAAATTAAAATATGTGATCCTACAAATAGGTTCTCAGTACTAGGGATAGAGAATTTCTAGCTTTATTAATCACTCAGTCGGCAAAACCTACTTTGAACGGCCGAATTATTAATGCATGGGTACTGGGAGGATACGTGGCTTCACCCGAACTACTTCAATTAATTTTTGTTCAGACCTTATATATCAAGGAATTTATTAAATACTTATAAAAATTTTATTATTATTATTATATACATCTTGATGAATTTTTTGAAAGTCAATTTATATATTAAGAAATTTATTAAATACTTAATGAAAAATTTAATTATGAATTTGATTACTATTATTATTATTATTTTATACTCTCCCAGTCCACTTTTAATTGTTATGGTGTGCTTTTTGAAAGTCAATTTTACTAATTTTTAAAGTTAAATTAGATTAAATTAATTTGATATTTTAAACAAAAAATTTAGATATTTGAAAAGTATATGAAAAGTACTATGAAGTGCAGTTTTTTGCATATCAATATGATGAAAAAATACATCATAAAATGTTAGTCAAAGTTCTTAAAATTTGACTCTAAAAAAAGAAACCATGATAATTAAAAATTAACGGGGAAATATTAACTTAAAATCATTATATAAATTTATAAATTTCAAATTTGGCATCATACATAAACATGACCCTTAACTTGGCTTCAGTGAACAACTATGCCCTTCAACTTTGAATGTGCACTAGTAAGCACTTAAACTTGTATAAAATTGAACAAGTAGACACAATTGTCTTACGTGGCATAATACACGTAAAACGCCATGTAGGACACAAAATTATCATGTAGGGTGTCATGTAGGACGAATATGTTTATTTGCTCTAATTTATACAAGTTTAAGGGCCTACTTATGCACAACTAAAATTAAAGGTCATAATTAACAACTGACGCTATATTAAGGATCTCGTTTATATATTATGCATTCAAATTTTGAATCAATCTCTGAATTAGGCTGACAAATCCCTACTACCTGATTCAAGAATGTTCACATACGGTAGTGTAGCAATTCGGTCATAATTAAAATTAACAAATGCGATGGATTGTTTAATAGAACGTATAAGAATAATGTTGAATATGATATATTAGTAATAATGCTGATATTAATAATATTTTTATTAGTTTAAAATATTTATAAAAATATCCCACAAATATAATAAAAGGATGTGGATTTTTTTAAAGAGCAATTATATCCTTAATCATGTTAATAATATATTAAAATTCTTTACATTACTAATATCATGAATTAGAATTACAAGGTGTATCCCCGACTATTTTAATTCTGAATAAATATTAAATTATTTATAGATTTAAAAATGATGATAATAAAATTGTAAGGGGAAGGCAGACGGGAGGGCTTCAACTAATTATTGGATATCTTATTATATATGAATTAATTGGGTCAAAAGTTAGATAATAATATCTAAATAAAGGCTGAATCAAAGTTTATCGCCTGCAATTTATTCAACTTCTAGTAAATTGCTCTAATATTCTTCCATTTCACAATATAATTATAAAAAGAAAAGACAAGAAAGAAGAACACCATAATGTAATTAGAAAAGTTCCTAATTAAGGAAAGTCCGAATTAATGCACTGACGTCCCTTAGTAATTAGATTCCCTTTGTTCCCACTTTTGATCCCTTTTATTTGTTGGCTTCATTTTATACATTTTTTTTATGTATTTTCTTTTACATATATAAAAATTTTACTTGTTTTGTTCAAAAGTTAAATATATTGTTGAGTCACATATTTATTTATTTATTTATTTATATTCAATACCGTCCTAAAAACAATGAGAGGAAACTACATTACATTCAAAATGTTTCCTATTATTATTATTTAGTTGTCTCACTTATCTTTCCTTATTCATAGTTGTAGTATTATATATTCATCAATGATTTTTTTTTTATCTTTTAATGTATGTTATTATTTGTTGTTTCTTATATTTTGATTATCGTGCTATTTTGTTATAATTATGTTTCTTTTTTTAACATATTTTGATAGTATTTTTGACATATGACTTCTTTACTCCTATTAATTCTTTTTTTAGCCAATGTTCTACCAAAAACAACCTATCTACCTCTCGAGATAAAAATAAGATTTGCGTACATTCTATTCTTCTAAAAACTCCACTCGTGAAATTACATTAAATATATCATTATTATTTTTACTATTATCCCTTTAATAATTTCTTACAAAACTTTACAGTATAATTTGACAATCGCCTAACAATATATTTCAACGTGATAAAATCAAAAGTCTAGTTTGTTCAACAGAATATGGTCTTAAACCCCCAACTTTCACAAATTTAAAAATTAAGGATATGGAAATATACATAAAAAAAGGAAAAAAGACAGGTACATTGGATTTTAGCTTGTTTGATGACATAGCAAAGAGCAAAGGAGTAGTAGTAATTAAATAACTAATCAATTTTGTGTAAGAAATTGCTAAGATTCCTCCCTTGTCTTTTTCCACCGTTGTTTTCAGTTGACTACAAGGAATGTTGCTAACTATTTTAATGTCCAAACCTCAAATATCAAACCATGCAAAATTTAACCATTTCTTATGTGGATATATACCTATTCCACCACATGTACCCTCACTACTCCACCAATATTTAAATATTAATCTTCTATTATATCGTTTTTTCATAAAAAATTAAAAATAATTGGATAAATAGTATTATCTTTGTAATACAATCGGCTATAACTTCAATACGGTATTACTGAATACCATCTCAAATCGAAATTTAATTTATAAATTATCAAATTACGAAATTGATATTTAAAATTTTAGTGTTTGATACCTACTTTTAACTATCAATTATCGAACTCAAAATTTGATAAATTCGAACGGACTATCGAACACCCACCCCTACCCTTACCAATGAAAATAAGGAATTGGCCTTTTGGGTTGTATTCATTATATCGAATTAACTTAATGCAAATTACCTTTTAGGTATGATTTGGGAGTTATTTCATAAGAGCGGGTTCACATAATCGTATTCCTATGCTGCCCAACATTTACACTTCACCAGTCAACTTGACTATATAAAATTAACTTAACCAAATTAAGTATATTGTAGAAGATAATACTCCATTCAAAATATAAAATGAAAAAAAGGGGTAGAAAAGTCCAGCGCGGCAACCGGGTTCCTCTATAAATACATTTCCTACATCTTCTCTTTTCCTCACATCCCATCGCTCTTAACAAATAGTACTTGTCAATCATATATCCCCCCAACACACACTTTTTCCTCCTTCACTTCCCCACCGGCGGCAGACTTACCGGTGAAAAATGGACGTTCGCCGGAGATCTGAAAAGCCTGTTTATCCATCTAAGGTCTTTGCCGCCGATGAAAAACCTCTCAAACCCCACAAAAATCAACAACAAGAGGACAACAATACCCTTCTCATTGATGCTTCCGATGCTCTCCCACTTCCTTTGTATCTCACTAATGGCTTGTTTTTCACCATGTTTTTCTCTGTTATGTATTTTCTTCTATCAAGGTGGCGTGAGAAAATCAGGAATTCTACACCTTTACACGTGGTTACGCTTTCTGAATTGGGTGCTATTGTTTCGTTAATCGCTTCTGTCATTTATCTTCTCGGTTTCTTTGGGATTGGGTTTGTTCAGACGTTTGTGTCAAGGGGAAATAATGATTCATGGGATGAAAATGATGAGGAATTTCTATTAAAGGAAGATAGTCGTTGTGGACCTGCGACTACTCTTGGCTGTGCTATTCCTGCTCGACAAATTGCCCCAATGGCACCACCTCAACCTGCTATGTCTGTAGCAGAGAAACCTGCCCCGTTGATCACACCAGCTTCGTCTGAAGAAGACGAAGAGATAATTAAATCCGTGGTGCAGGGGAAAATTCCATCATACTCATTGGAATCCAAGCTCGGTGATTGTAAGCGCGCTGCGTCGATAAGGAAGGAGGTGATGCAGAGGATTACAGGGAAGTCTCTAGAAGGGCTACCATTGGAAGGATTTAACTATGAATCTATTCTTGGGCAGTGTTGTGAGATGCCAATCGGGTACGTGCAGATACCGGTGGGAATAGCAGGGCCATTGTTGCTCAATGGAAAGGAGTTTTCAGTGCCCATGGCAACCACAGAAGGATGTTTAGTGGCTAGCACCAATAGGGGTTGCAAGGCTATCTATGCTTCTGGTGGTGCTACCTGCATTTTGCTCCGTGATGGGATGACCAGAGCACCATGTGTCAGGTTCGGCACAGCCAAAAGGGCAGCGGAGTTGAAGTTCTTTGTTGAAGATCCCATCAAATTTGAGACACTTGCTAATGTATTCAACCAGTAAGTGCATGCTAAGCTGCTAATCTATTCGAATATTGTGTTTTTATAGTAGTTAATTAATTGTTGTATTTGAATGGGATGTTGCAGGTCAAGCAGATTTGCCAGATTACAAAGAATTCAGTGTGCAATTGCGGGAAAGAATCTGTACATGAGATTTGTATGTAGCACCGGTGATGCAATGGGAATGAACATGGTGTCCAAAGGTGTACAAAATGTTCTTGATTACCTTCAGAATGAATATCCTGACATGGATGTCATCGGCATATCTGGTATTCCACCTACCCTTTAGTTTTTCCTTAACTTCTCTGCTATGCATGGTGATCTGGTTCTGCTTTAATTTTTGTTCCCCCTAAAATAGAGATGTTTGTCTAATTAAAGTTATCAATAACTGTGACAGGGAACTTTTGCTCGGACAAGAAGCCATCAGCAGTTAATTGGATCGAGGGGAGAGGAAAGTCTGTAGTTTGTGAGGCAATTATCACAGAAGAGGTGGTGAAGAAAGTTCTGAAAACTGAAGTTGCTTCTCTTGTGGAGCTGAACATGCTTAAAAATCTTACTGGCTCTGCCATGGCTGGTGCTCTTGGTGGTTTCAATGCCCATGCCAGCAATATCGTCTCAGCTGTGTTTATAGCCACTGGTCAGGATCCAGCTCAGAACATAGAGAGCTCGCACTGCATCACTATGATGGAGGCTGTAAATGATGGCAAGGACCTCCATATTTCTGTTACAATGCCTTCCATTGAGGTATGTAATTAACATTTTCTTGATGCAAATTTCTGATTCTCTTGTCGTTCCTTCTTTTTAAATCATCAGAATTAGACTAAACACTTTCGAGATCAGTTTCACAACGAAACAATGTCTTTCATCTCGTAGATGTGTCCTGTCCTCAATTCAGTTTATTAAAGTATTTGTGGAATCTTCTTGTTATATTTACTTGGATACAGGTTGGTACGGTTGGAGGTGGAACTCAGCTTGCATCTCAGTCAGCTTGCTTAAACTTGTTAGGAGTGAAAGGTGCCAACAGAGAGGCACCAGGGTCAAATGCAAGGCTCTTGGCCACAGTAGTAGCTGGTTCTGTTCTTGCTGGGGAGCTATCCCTCATGTCGGCTATCTCGGCTGGGCAACTAGTTAATAGCCACATGAAATACAATAGATCTACCAAAGATGTCACCAAGGCATCCTCCTAATACAATCCATTCTCCTCGCTTGTATTTGAAGATGATCCCACAAGTAGCTTCCATTTATGAATGATCGATATTAGGAATAAATAAAATAAATTTACAAAGCAAAAAAGAAAAGAAAAATAAAGAGAAGAGGGATAGAGAGAAGGAAAAGTTTGGACTAGTGTTGAAGCAGAAAACAAAGTGAAGTCGCGGAGACAAATACCTTCCACTTCTTTTTTTCACCATTGTCCGTGGGGAGGGAGAAGTTAGCTGGGCTTTGTTTGTTGTCTCAGTGATTGATTCTTGATGACATGTATTAGCTGCCAACACCTTCGTATCATTCAAATGTGTCAAAACGCCATACCCTTTTCGTTTCTATTGTACTGTTCCTTTGTTTGTTAATTTGTCATTTCTACAGGGGTTGTCTGGATCTGATCACTAAGTGTGTTGTTGTATATGAAAATAACTTCTTTTATTCAAATGAATTATTTGTTCTTCCATAAACGTGTGCTTAAACACCTTCGGGATATAGGTCTCGGGATGACTATTTAATTAACTTAAACCATTTTAATCAATGGTTGTAGATCAAGATTAACACACTTATTAGCCAACTAATTGGAATGATAAACAAAAATTGTTTATATTTTTCCTTCATCTACATTTTCCAAGTAGAAACTAAAGTTGTTTGCAAATTAAATACACGGAACATGTAATTAATATGAAGTACCAAATCATTTGTAAATTGTGTGTTAGCTGGTAATCTGTCAGCAAAATAACAATTTCTAGCCTATTCAACAACGTAATAACATTTAGCAAGGCGGCTCAATCATATCAGTGGCCTAAAGTCAAATTTAAACTGTCTTGATTTTTTTTTTATAGATTTATCAAATTTCTAATAATTCTTTCCTCTTATATGAAAATTTAATGTTTTCTACAAATAACACTCATATTTTTTAAAGAAAGTATCTATAACCTATTATTGCTTTAAAAAATCGAGTCCCCCCAAATTAGGGGGGCCTAAGACTACTGCATTTTTCGTCATTTAGACGAAGCAATACAATTCCTTGTATCTTTTCGAAGATTGAAGTCATAAGATTAAAATCGTGATAGCTATGTTCTTCATATATCATCTAGCAAAAACTAATGGTTTATTCTTCTACAATAATAAAGTCTGCCATAATTCATTTCACCAAACTTTTTGCAAGAATATGAATTTGATGTTACTGATTGATTGACATATATTATTGAGCTCTAAAATTTAAGTTGTTTTTCCTCAAACCTCACTCATCATGTCCTTTTGACTACACTTTAATTGACTCAATAAATTATTAAAATGGTGAAGATGTGGCTTGTTGATTTTCTTTTCAAATGTAAATATAAGCAATGTTGAAAATCTAAATTAGGGAATGTGAAGTGATTTAAAATATGAGATGCATATAGCCAAACATTAGGTACTTTTACTAAACAGACAACAATGACTTTATCACAAGTCACAAGTAGGGTGGCTTTCCATTTTGTATTGTAATTGTTGCTAAAAGAGAGATTGGTCAAATGTCATAGCAGAAGGTGGAGAAGGGCCAAATTCCCACCAATTATTTGGGTAGAATTTGGATCTCCCACCACCCTTTACAAATTGCCCAATACTAGATCTGAGCATAAAATACTGAAAATCGAATTATTGAACTGAACAATTTTTTTGATAATTTGGTATTTGGTATGGTATTCGGGAGTAACATTTTAGTATTATGATATTTGAGTTTGAGTTTGGTATGAGACATTAGTATCATTTGGTATTCGGTATTTCCCGAATACCAAATTATTTGCTTGATAAAGGTCATATATCAACATATGCATTACTCATTAGTACAAGTTGAAAGTTAAAGAATAAGCATAAACAATCCAAATACATGTCTTTTAGTTGTATCAATTTGTTTTTATTGATATCTTCTTACTTAGTGATCTTCTATAATATCATGCCTCTAAATAAAAAATAGAAATGATTGGAGAAATAATATTAGCATTGTAATACAATACGTTATAACTTAAATACGGTATTAACGAATACCGTACAAATCAAAGTTTAATTTACCGTTTACCGAATTATCGAACCAAAATTTTAAAATTTGGTATTTGGTATCTACCAATTGCCAAATTACCAAACCTAAAATTTGGGAAACCTCAACCGAAACAAAAAATAATAAATAGAGAAAAACCTAAAATTTGGGAAACCTCAACCAAAGCAAAAAAAAAAAAAATAGAGAAAAATTCGCTTATCGAACCAAAATTTAAAAATTTGGTATTTGGTATCTACCAATTGCCAAATTACCAAACCTAAAGTTTGGGAAACCTCAACCGAAACAAAAAAAAAATAGAGAAAAATTCGCCGTCTGTGGGGATCGAACCCACGACCACGTGGTTAAAAGCCACGCGCTCTACCACTGAGCTAAGACGGCTTGGTTGTTAGAATTTTCTACATTTCAGCTAAGAACGTTTCACTGTCAAATTTCAAGTAGCTCTCTTTTCATTTCTCATTGTGCCAACAAGAAAAAGAAATTATTAGGATTCCTAAATAATGTGAATTAGTGTCCATTTGGATTGACTTATTTTAGGTATTTTAAAGCTAAAATAATTTTTAATCAGTTTCAAAGTGTTTGGGTAAAATTAAAAAATACTTATAACAAACTTGTTTTTAAGCCAAAATAATAAAAATGAGTCAACAATATAAATTAAAATTTCTAACTTATAATTTTTACTTTATAAGTCATAAATAAAAAATCAATCCAAACAGATCCGTCTATTTAATATCGAGTGACTAAAAAAAACATCCAATGATATTTATTTATTTATTGTTAGGATTTTTTTGATCTCATACAGGCCTCAAATTTGTTGGACAAGCATATAAATTATTAACTTCCACTTAGGTAACATACTAGACTCAGTATTGGTCTATAGTCTTTATTTACCTTTTAATAGCCAATTCGATTTGACTGTCGAAAACTTATTTTTCTAATGACTCAAATTAAAATGTTTGACAGGATTATTTGTATCGTATGGTCTTTTTCTAGGCCAATTTTTAAAGGGTTAGTTTCAAATGTATGGTAAAACTTCACTAAATTAATATAGATGGGATCATAAAATATTATTATTTTATAAAATATATTATATAATCGATAAATTAATATTTACTAATTTAAAGAGTGTTTTGAGATTTAATGAAGGTTAATTTTGATTACATAAAAAAGATTGTAATATACTTGTATCATATTTATTGAATTCACATAAAAGATAAATTTATTATACATAAAGTACGATGAATGCATCAAAATCATTGTATCTTACTGAATTATGTATCATATTATTGAATTTATATAAAAATAAATTAATTATTCATAATGTACAATGCATGTGTATGAATTCATTGTAATATATTTTTTTTGTTAAATGATTCATTGTAAAATAAATTTAACAATCAATGATTCATTGTAAAAATAAATTTATTATACATAACATTCGTTGTTGCTTAATAATAGAATATTATTCGTTGTACCTTTGCTAAAAACATTCAATGTATGATTGTGAGAGGATAAATTATATATGCAACATAGAAAATTTCTTGAAACCATATAAAAAAAGGCTTCTCATTAAAAACGTGTCACAAAATCAATAATGACTTATCAAATATGTAAAGCTAGATATGAGTATAAAAGAGATCATTTCACATGCATTCAAAAAGATTTATAGTCACGGCAACACCAGTACGTTTGGATGCAATAAGAAAAGTTAGAAATAAACTTCAACTAGATTTTAATTTTAACAAAAAAAAAAATACAATAGAATCATATACATTTCACTAAATTGTCCTAGATATATCTGTACTTATATAAGTTATTATCATAACAACACCATATGTTTATATAGGAGTCTTTTGAAAATATATTATCTTATCAAAATGAATGATTTTTTCCATTGACCCAAGTCAGGACCGGAGAAAATATTATATTAGAGAGATAATTAATTACCGAATATTAATTTAGTGAGATTTTACGGTATACAATAAAGTAATTAGTTTACAATAAATATATCCATGTTTTATTTACATAAAAAAAAAATAGTCAAAAATCATAGGAAGTATACACTAACTATACAATATAGCTTACCAAAAGTCATAAGAAGCATACAGACTATACAATATAACTTATCTGTATATGGGCTATACATCGATTATACATTATGATACACTCAAAAAACTGAGTATAGTTTAACTATATATGAAATGTAAATGGACTATACATAATATATAACGAACTACTCAATCTCAATCAATTCAAAACCACTTCTAAACAGACCAAAAAATCTAGATATGAAATCCTCTCGATGTTTTAAAGCTTTTGACGTATAATTCATTTGAAACAATTCACATTTTTGATACGTCGAATTAAAGAATAAAAAAGACGATTGAAGCAGATGACTAGGGTTATGAACTTATAATCTGATGATCGAGTCGATTTCATGATTATAAGTTCATTCCATACCGGACCATAAGAAGAATGAAGAAGATGAACAAGAAGGAGGAGGAGAAAGGAGGAAAAGAAAAGCCATTAATGACAAATTCGGAAGGTGAAGAAGATGAAGAACAAGATGGAGGAGGAAAAAAGAGAGGAAAAAAAGCCATTAATGACAAATTCCAAAGGAAGAAGAACACATTTGACCAATTTTAATAATTTTTAAAATTGGGCCAATTATTTAATAAAACAAAGGACTGAATGACCACTTTGCATAATTTGTCAATTTTTGAATATCACATTTCATTGGATTAGTGGACTAAAGTTCAACTTCATTCGATTGAGGGGTTCCCAAAAAAGAGTGTTTCTTAGTAATGATGAAAAACAAGTTTGACGAGTAAAAATTAAAAGGGAAAAAAATTAAACTATACAATTTAAGCACTCAATAGAGCCCGTTTGGATTGGCTTAAAAAAAGTTAACTTTTTAAAGTGCTGGACTTATTTTTAAAATAAGTAATTATGTGTTTGGATAAAAGTGCTGCAGTTGAAAAAAAAATTGTTGATGTGTTTGGCAAATAAGTGCTGGTAAACACTTTTTTTTATCAAAATGTCTGAAATACCCTTAAAGCTGTTAACATGATAAAAAGTTGATTAATTTAAGGTTTTTATACTTAAAAAAATTAAAACAAAATTAATTTATATTTTACATCCATAAGTAATAATATTTTCCTATCATTCACATATTTCATTATCATCACAAATTATTTATAAGAGGAATATAAAATTTTATTATTTAAGTTAATTTTATATGTGCAACTTATTTTAGATTTTAAAAATATATAATTTGAATAGATCACTTGAAAGATTTAAGATTTATTTTAATTTCATTCATAAGTAATAATAATTGTCTATCATTCACATACTTCTTTACCACCACAAATTACTTATAAGATGAATATAAATTCATATTTCAGAAATAATAATAATAATAATAAT